GAGAGAGAGAGAGAGAGAGAGAGAGAGAGATACATACATCAAATTCGAGTTCAATCAATGATCTAGTGTCAGAGGGACAAAAACGGAAACAAACAGCAAAGTAAATCTGACCTCCTGACCCCCTGACCTAGATTACAATTCAGAGAGAATATGCAGATAACTTGAGTATAGCTTCCAAAAAATGCATCAGGTATACAAACCTGCAGTCAGCTGAATATCCTCACCACATTAAAATAAAATAGAAGACTTTTTAATGTTTGTTGTCATTTGCTGTAATTTAGCATATTCTTAGCTTAAAGGCAATGACATTTGGTTAGACTGCATGCATTACTTACAATACGGAATGCAAGTACTGCTGTTCACTGATGTATTTGTCATGTAAGTAGAATTTGTGTTATACGGTTTCATCCTACAGAACATTTTAAATCTACATCAATATCTCTTAATGATATACATGTACTGTTATTATCTCTGGAACAATTTCTTTGTATTGCACTGGCTTTCATGATTAAATTGTGCAGGTTGAGTCAGGTTATAATTAATGGGACAGAATTAATTTACCAAAAGACTGATCTGTTTTCAATACTTTACAGGCATCAGTAAAATCTCATTTCATGAGTCCTTTGTCCTGGTTATTATTCTATTTATTCCAGATATTTCATGTGGCTTTATGGAGCTGTGAAATTGTATTTTTATACATTTCAACCTAATTTCTGTGCAATGATGGAACATAAGAAAACAATGCAACAGAACTAGTTTTGTGTTGATTAAAAATAATTAGGGTACACACACATGCACGTGCATTCACACACGCACACATGCACATGCACACACACACATGCACTTGCGCACGCACACACACGCACATGCACACGCACATACACACACACGCACATGTCGGGTAAACATCTCTTTATAGGGACCGCTCACACACACACACACGTCAGGTAAACATATCTTTATGGGGACCGCTCTCTCTCTCTCTCTCACACACACACACACACACACACACACCCCTGAAAGGGGATGATGAGATAGAGGAGCCCCTCTGTCTCATAGCTTTACTGTCTGTGACCACTAGAGGGTGATGAGCCCAGTAAGCCTGGCACAACGTATGTGATGTGCAGTCACAACGGGAATTACAATGCATTCTATGTGTTTAGCAAATTAACCAACATTAGTGTTTAGCAAATTAACCAACATTAGTGTTTAGCAAATTAACCAACATTAATGGTAAATAAGGCAATAAATTTCTATTAATCCCATTGCATTTTGCACAGTGGTTAGCCATATAACAATGTTCTTTCAGCCCTTAGGATCCTATTCATGCCCCCAGCTCTCTGCATGTGGATATAGAGATTGTGTGTAGGTGTGTGTATGGGTGCATGTCTCTGTGTGCCTGCATGGGTGTATCTGTGTCCCCATTACATAAGAACATAAGAACATAAGAACTATACAAACGAGAGGAGGCCATTCGGCCCATCGAGCTCGCTTGGGGAGAACTTAACTAATAACTCAGAGTTGTTA